TTAAACTGTCAGCAAGGAATTTGCATTTGCACTGTTAAATTTTTATATAACTTTAATGCACTTAAAAAAGCTGCTTGTTTAAGTGAAAATACATTGAGGTTTTTTTTTTTTTGCACCAATAAAGTTGTGGAGTTGAGCAGTATTTTGTCTCGTGTCAATTATATCGTCAGTTATATCGTTATCACAAATTTTCAAATATATATCGTGATAAATATTTTAGGTCATATCGCCCTGCTCTATTTGCTAGCGCTGTCTGTAGAAAACGCTGTTTTTACCGTTCTTCCCGCTATAAACACCACTGTTTTATTCAGAAAAAAACATCGCGTGTAGTTTTATCATAACTCTGGTTTTACGTGGCCCATCGACACAATTCAAAAACTGGTATATAGTTTGAAGTCCGCACTTTCGACTCAAGTTGAAATGGAGACTCTGAGTTGCTGCATCTTATAGCTGTGTCGTCCTAAATTGGTCATGTGATTTTGACGCGCCAGCGCACCCTTTGACCCCAAAGGTCTGTTCTACAACACAAGTTACCATGGCGATTTAAGGAGAGAACCACTGACATATTTAAAGATGGGTGACCAGCATCTAAACTAGGGCTGCAAGATATTAGGAAGACCTGCGATATGCGATAACTGTGATCAATATTGCGATAACGATATGCAATAAAATAAATAAAAACAAAACAAAAAAAACCCCCAGAATACATAATTTCAGTTTTACTGCAACAGTTTTATTTAAAGAAAGCTGCTGTACTAGCAGTGTAACAACGTGCACTTTAACATTGAAACATTGTCCCCAAAAATGTTTTTCCTGAGGCTTGAATTCTGAAAGACATTCTTCCCGGTCTCTATAATTAATTTTAAATAAACATAACTTAAATTATATTGTGAGAGTCTGGAAAATACACAGTCTCTAGACACCATGTTTTCAGTTCAAAGTCTTCGGTGAGGAAGTGCACTGTGAAGCTCATATATGGTTCCGTTGTAGGACTTGACCATAGGTCTGTAGTGCTTGCGTAGTTTTCAGCTTGGCTCAGTTCAAACATGACAGTCTTGCGGCATGTTTTGTACATTTGTGGAATGGTGACATGGGAAAAGTAGTTTCGTGAGGGGATGCGGTATCTCCAGTCCACTTTATGTATCAGACTGGTGAAGCCCTCTCTACTAACTGTATTTATAGGCATCGTGTCTTTAGCCAGAAAATGTGTAATGGCCTCATTTATTGCTTTGTACCGCTTTGACGTTTTCTCATAGAGTTCCACTTGAAAAACTCTGATACAGAGACGGCTGTTGGACTGCTGTGCTCTTTGTCTTAACATTAGCAACCTTTGTTTGGCTAGTCCTGTCTTTCTGGAACTTTTCAAACTGTTCTCTGTGGTTGTATTGAAGATGATGGTGGAGATTAGTCGTGTTTCCTCTGGTGGTTGCCACAAGTGTTCGGCAAGTTTTGCAGAGTACCTGTGTTTGGAGAACGTTATCTTTATCAAATCCAATGTACCTCCATATAAGCGAGGTACAATTTTTTTTTACCCACGAGTTCAGTCAGTAGCGTTCTCGTCATGCATCTCGCTCTCAGCCATTACAACTGACTCTTTGCTGCAGCGTTGTTCGCTCCCCACCTGCGTGGGAGGCGGGCCTCTAATCCATTTGATTGATTAAGGCTGTGAAGGGCTCTATTCGACTGGTCAAATCTGTAAAGGGGTTTCTTTGATTGGTAAATTCTTTAAAGCACGTGTGTAAACATTTTAAAGTACCCAATTATTGCAGTTTTCGCCATCTTTTGCGATGGGCCCATCGCACAGGCTGATATTGCGATGACAATAAATTTTCGATTTATTGTGCAGGCCTGATCTACACCTTCTGTCCTACTAAGAAAATCATGTCTTCTCCTCCATCATCAGTTATCAGGAGAGCAGACAGTCAAAGTACAAGAATTCAAACAAACACAGAGATTCTACTTACAGAGCAGACACAGCACAGATGTTTCCTTCATCGTCCTTCTCACTCATTTGAGCTGTTTTTCACTCTCACACCAAGTAAAGCCCGCCCTCTTCCTCTGAGCACAAGCCGATCTGTTGGTACAAAAACAGTGTTGGTAAGGTAAACTATATAAAATATATATCACACTGCAATACTTTTTAATTTCCTTAAAACACTGAATTAAACACTTAAAGACAAAAAAGGTTCTTATTTTTT